TCCGGCCTGTTTCCTGCTCCCCGCACCAAGCCTGTGGTGCGCGTCGCCAGCCCGGCTCGGCCCGTTCCTGCTCCCCGCACCAAGCCTGTGGTGCGCGTCGCCAGCCCGGCCCGGCCCGTTCCTGCTCCCCGCACCAAGCCTGTGGTGCGCGTCGCCAGCCCGGCCCGGCCCGTTCCTGCTCCCCGCACCAAGCCTGTGGTGCGCGTCGCCAGCCCGGCCCGGCCCGTTCCTGCTCCCCGCACCAAGCCAGTGGTGCGCGTCGTCAGCCCGGTCCGGCCCGTTCCTGCTCCCCGCACCAAGCCAGTGGTGCGCGTCGCCAGCCCGGTCCGGCCCGTTCCTGCTCCCCGCACCAAGCCAGTGGTGCGCGTCGTCAGCCCGGTCCGGCCCGTTCCTGCTCCCCGCACCAAGCCAGTGGTGCGCGTCGCCAGCCCGGTCCGGCCCGTTCCTGCTCCTCACACCAAGCCTGTGGTGCGCGTCGTCAGCCCGGTCCGGCCTGTTCCTGCTCCCCGCACCAAGCCAGTGGTGCGCGTCGTCAGTCCGGCACAGCCCGTGCTGCTCCACACCGGAGCCTGAGCAATCCGCTCCACCGGTGTCCAGTCCAGCTCCGGCCAGCGGGGCCAGACCAGACGCGCTACGGGGGGGTAGCGAGAGAGTGGTGGTCCTCCGAGGCGGAATGCCCACCCGGCCCCTCCCCTGTTGGGTTTGGTTGGCGCGGTCGCAGTCCGCGCCTTTGGGGGGGGGTACTGTCACGCCCTGGCTCTGGGGACTCTTATATGTTGAGCCAGGGTGTGGATTTTCTATGTGTGATTTTCTATGCTGTGTTCTAGTTCGTGTTTTCTATGTTGGCCAGGGTGGTTCCCAATCAGAGGCAGCTGATTATCGTTGTCTCTGATTGGGAACCATACTTAGGCAGCCTGTTGGCACTAGTTATTTGTGGGATCTTGTTCCGTAAGGTTTGTTTTGGTGTGTTAACCTAGGACTTCACGTATCGTTTGGTTTGTTGTTTTTGTTCGTGTGTGTACACAATAAAAGGATGTACGCTTACCACGCTGCGCCTTGGTCCGCATCTTGTAGCGATCGTGACACTCTCACAGTTTAAGTGTACCTATGATAAAAAATTACAGACCTCTACATGCTTTGTAAGTAGGAAAACCTGCAAAATCGGCAGTGTATCAAATACTTGTTCTCCCCACTGTATATCCTACCAACGGGACATTAAAAACTGTAATATCTTATGTGTGTTTCCCCCACCGAACCCGTGGCTGAACGACAACATGACTAACATACAGCTGGCGGTTTATACACTGTATCGGCAGGATAGAAACAGCAGCCTCTGGTAAGACAAGGGTGTGCGTCTATGTATATTTGTAAACAACAGCTGGTGCCACTATATCTAAGGAAGTCTTCGAGGTTAGAGTATCTTCATTATAAGCTGTAGACCACACTATCTACCAAGGAGATTTTTCATCTATATTCTTTGTAGCTGTCTATTTACCACCACAAACCGATGCTGGCACTAAGACCGCACTCAATTAACTGTATACGGCCATAAGCAAACAGGAAAACGCTCATCCAGAGGCAGCGCTCCTAGTGACCGGGGACTTTAATGCAGGGAAACTTAAATCCGTTTTACCTCATTTCTAACAGCATGTTAAATGTGCAACCAGAGGGAATAAAAACTCTAGACCTCCTTTACTCCAGCCACAGAGACGCGTACAAAGCTCTCCCTCGTCCTCCATTTGGCAAATCTGACCATAATTCTATCCTCCCGATTCCTGCTTACAAGCAAAAACTAAAGCAGGAAGCACCAGTGACTCGGTCAGTAGAAAAGTGGTCAGATGAAGCAGATGCTAAGCTACAGGACTGTTTTGCTAGCACAGACTGGAATATGTTCTGGGATTCTTCCGATGGCATTGAGGAGTACACCACATCAGTCACTGGCTTCATCAATAAGTGTGTCGAAGACGTCGTCCCCACAGTGACTGTACGTACATACCCCAACCAGAAGCCATGGATTACAGGCAACATCCGCACTGAGTTAAAGGGTAGAGCTGCCGCTTTCAAGGAACGGGACTCTAACCCGGAAGCTTATAAGAAATCCCGCTATGCCCTCCGACAAACCATCAAACAGGCAAAGCTTCAATACAGGACTAAGATCAAATAGTACTACACTGGCTCTGACGCTCGTCGAATGTGGCAGGGCTTGCAAACTATTACAGACTACAAAGAGAAGCACAGCCGCGAGCTGCCGAGTGACACGAGCCTACCAGACGAGCTAAATTACTTCTATGCTCGCTTCGAGGCAAGTAACACTGAAACATGCATGAGAGCATAATCTGTTCCGGAAGACTGTGTGATCACACTCTCCGTAGCTGATGTGAGTAAGACCTTTAAACAGGTCAACATTCACAAGGCCGCAGGGCCAGACGGATTACCAGGACATGTACTCCGAGCATGCGCTGACCAACTGGCAAGTGTCTTCACTGACATTTTCAACCTCTCCCTGTCTGAGTCTGTAATACCAACATGTTTCAAGCAGACCACCGTAGTCCCTGTGCCCAAGAACACTAAGGTGATCTGCCTAAATGACTACCGACCCGTAGCACTCACGTCTGTAGCCATGAAGGGCTTTGAAAGGCTGGTCATGGCTCACATCAACACCATTATCCCAGAAACCCTAGAACCACTCCAATTTGCATACCGACCCAACAGATCCACAGATGATGCAATCTCTATTGCGCTCCACACTGCCCTTTCACACCTGGACAAAAGGAACACCTATGTGAGAATGCTATTCTTTGACTACAGCTCAGCGTTCAACACCATTATACCCTCAAAGCTCATCACTAAGCTAAGAACCCTGGGACTAAACACCTCCCTCTGCAACTGGATCCTGGACTTCCTGACGGGCCACCCCCAGGTGGTAAGGGTAGGTAACAACACATCCACCACGCTGATCCTCAACACGGGGGCCCCTCAGGGGTGCATGCTCAGTCCCCTCCTGTACTCCCTGTTCACTCATGACTGCATGGCCAGGCACGACACCATCATTAAGTTTGCCGATGACACAAAAGTAGTAGGCCTGATCACCGACAACGACGAGACAGCCTATAGGGAGGAGGTCAAGGACTACAGGAAAAATAAGAGGACCAAGCACACCCCCATTCTCATCAACGGGGCTGTAGTGGAACAGGATGAGAGCTTCAACTTCCTTGGTGTCCACATCACCAACAAACTAACATGGTCCAAGCACACCAAGACAGACATGAAAAGGGCACGACAAAACCTATTCCCCCTAAGAAGACTGAAAAGATTTGGCATGGGTCCTCAGATCCTCAAAAGGTTCTACAGCTGCACCATCGAGAGCATCCTGACTGGTTGCATCACTGCTTGGTATGGCAACTGCTCTGCCTCCGACCGCAAGGCACTACAGAGGGTAGTGTGTACGGTCCAGTACATCACTGGGGCCAAGCTTCCTGCCATCCAGGACCTCTATACCAGGCGGTGTTAAAGGAAGGCCCTAAAAATGGTCAAAGACTCCAGCCACCCTAGTCATAGACTGTTCTCTCTGCTACCGCACGGCAAGCAGTACCGGAGCGCCAAGTCTAGGTCCAAGAGGCTTCTAAACAGCTTCTACCCAAAAGCCACAAGACTCCTGAACATCTAATCCAGTGCCCAGACTATTTGCATTGCCCCCCCCCTTTACGCTGCTGCTACTCTCTGTTTATTATCTTTGCATAGTCACTTTAATAACTCTACCTACATGTACATATTACCTGAATTACCTCGACTAACCAGTGCCCCCGCACATTGACCCGGTACCAGTACCCCCTGTATATAGCCTCGCTATTGTTATTTTACTGCTGCTCGTTAATTATTTGTTACTTTTCTTTCTTCTTATTTTTTTATATATTTTTTGGTATTCTTTCTTAAAACTGCATTGTTGGTTAAGGGCTTGTAAGCAAGCATTTCACTGTAAGGTCTAAACCTATTGTATTCGGTGCATGTGACAAATAAAATTGGATTTGATTTGATGCTGTAAGGAGGAATGGCCTTAAGATCCCTCCTGATGTGTTCTCCAACATATAAAACATTTTAGAAAAATACTTTGCGCTGTTACTCGCAAGGCGAGGTATTGAAAACAGGGGTGTCAATAATTTTGACCCCTGCCTTTTTGAGAAAAAAAGTATTACTTGTTAAACAAAATCTCTCTCTGAGCAATTGTATTAGTTTAAAATAATATAATTTCACCATTTATTTGAGCATAGCTCAGTATTTGATTTATTTATTTCATACAGTCATTTTTGCTCATCTTTATCAAAGCTGTCAATAATTTCAGACCCAACTGTGTATATAAAAATAAAAAACACTCACTGATAAAGTTTCTCCTGATTATGTTCCCGCCTCCCAAATGACTTAACTCTCCACCGAAAATGTCGAATGCATAATTATTGATTGCTTTTACTGAAAATTTATGAATTATTAATCATGGAATAGCACTGAATAACTTCAGTCACTGTTTTGTGATTATAAAATACATTTACCATAATTTGTTCAAGACACCTGCTACCCTAGCAGAGGAAAGTGTTAGATAGTGACTCATATTCATCACATTGTGTGTTTGAAGCTGCTTTTTGGATCATGGTCGGAGAATTACTGGCCAGTTTCAATTCAATGAATTGAAAGCAATTTTGGGAGTTCAATTGTAGTTTTGATAAAGATTTTAATACCTTAACATCTGATCTTGTGAGAGATAAGATGATCTCAAATGAACTTATCCAACATGAGTTCCCCAACTATACTTTTGTTATTTTCTGTGTGAAATAACTATGTGAAATTAACTTTTACTGCATAGTGTGGGAGCCTATTACCAACCCATGTCCACTGTGGATGGTAGTGCAGCATTTTGAATTGAAACCCCTGTGTCATCAGTTTTACTGTGACTTACCCAGCACTTTAATAGTTTTGTATTTTCAGCAGATTCCCTAAAACACAAAACTCATCCCCTGTGATTGGTTGTAGCTCAGCATGCTCTATTGTGCCTCAAGGCCGTTTGTTCGTCGGGTTTTCAACGCACAAACAAAACTTTACTGCCAGCCTGGGCAATATTGGGCTCCGGAGTGCTTTGACAACCCCCCTGTATTATTGGAATCTCTGGATAATAAAGGTAATAAAGGTAAGTTATTACTTACCTGAGTGGTGTAAGTAAAATGTGACGTAATGTGTGCTTTGACATAATGTAGGTGACTTAAAGTTAATATTTCTTCATAGACAGGACAGAAGAGAGAGGACAGAAGAGAGACAGATCAGTCATGTCAGGGTAAATACAGCGTATCAAAGCTATAACTATGTGATGGCCATTTGAAAAGACATTGCTCTAACAAACTGTCTAAAAGCAGTAGGCCTGTGGTAAAACAAGTGGAATATGAATGTGTACCTTGTAAGATTATTCGTTGGAAAATATAATTGATTCAGACCCTTTCAACTATTCAAAGCAAACAATGTACTATATGTTGTGTTACTCTATGCTGTATTCACCAGCCATGAGATGGTAGTGTATAGAGATGCTTCAGTGTCCCAGCCAGTTGTGCTGTAGGCTAACTGTCTCCTCTGTCAGTGTGCTTGGCAGGATGTACAGCTTCATGGGCGGTGGGTTGTTCTGCGCAGGAGTCGGGAACATACTCCTTATTATCTCCACGACAACCGATTACTGGATGCAGTATCGTCAATCTAACAACTACATGCATCAGGGCCTGTGGCGCTACTGTGTGCCTGGGAAATGCATGACACACACAGATAGCATTGGTAAGAGCAACATGTCCCCTTTGTCATCAAATGTACTATAAGTGAAAGAAAGGTCTTTATGAGGTCACATTCAGTAATTTGTTTCATGCTGTGAATATCTAGTATAAAATCATTTCCACAAGAAAGGAATAAGCTCCTTTTATTTGAGCAGGTTTAGATGGGAATAAATCACCATATTTCAATATTTGGTGCAATATATTGAATATTGTGTAATAAGAAAATGATGTCACATTTGAGTAAAGTGTGAAAAGTAATTCAGTTGTAGACAGGAATAGTAGTAATGCTTATTGGGTAAGTACCTGTACTCTACTGAGTGTCAGCATTGTCCTCTCTGTTCTCGCTCTGTCACCAGCATACTGGGATGCCACCCGTGCCTTCATGATCCTCTCCCTGCTGGCCTGCTTCATTGGCATCGTGATCGGCGTCATGGCCTTCATACGCTCCTCCTCCTTCAGTGGGTTTGACAAGACGTTTGCTGCCGGCATCCTCTTCTTCATCTCCTGTAAGTGTTTCCTCCTCCTCCTACTGTCATTTCTCCCTATCACTCTCTATATCAAGCATAGAAATAGAATGAATTCATTCTATTTCTATGCTATCAAGTCTCTGTTGAGGGATGTGATGAAAAGAATAAAGCAGCATTTGATTGACTACTCTCCACAGGTTTCTTTGTACTGATGGCGATGGCTGTGTACACTGGGGTGACGGTTAACTACTACGGGAAACGATATGGAAACTGGCGCTTCTCCTGGTCCTACATCATGGGTTGGGTGGCCGTGGTCCTCACCTTCTTCTCAGGTAGGATGATGTGGTTTTGCCTATAGAGCTAAAGCACTTCATTTACTATTGTGTGTCCCAAATGGCACCCTATTCCCTTTAGTGTTCTACTCTGGTCAAAAGTAGTGCACTATATAAGGAGTAGGCTGCCATTTGAGATGGCTCAGTCCAACACAATTCATTTGAAGAAAAACATTTTTCACATAAGTGGATAATCCTATGTCCATGAACTGAATGGTAATGTCTTCCTATTTTTTTTTTACAGGTATCTTCTACATGTGTGCCTACAGGATGCATGAATGCCCGAGAAACTCCAACTCCCGCTGATCTGACAAAAAAAGAAAACACACAGCTCACACCTGGGTTTACACACCTAGCTACGTAATTTCCTGTTTCCCTGACCACTATTGAATAACCATAATAAAAAGGGTCAAACCAATTGTCTGTTTCTTCTTTCTATTGAGTGGTATACACCACAGTTATGATTATGTTCAGTTATAAGTTACAACGTTTCATTAAAGCTGCAATATGTCACTTTTTGGGTGACCCGACCAAATTCACATAGAAATGTGAGTTATAGATCAGTCATTCGCATTCAATGCAAATCTAAGAATTTGTCAATCTGTTCTATTTGCACCATTTCTATGCTTCCCATTTTTAAGTTTCATTTTTGCCTCTTTTACTTTCAGTTTTGTACACCAGCTTTAAACAGCTGAATATCCTCTCAAAGTACTCACATTGCAACTTTACTGTTGTTGACCAGATACTGCTGAGGGTAGCGACAGGAGAACATGTACATGATCTGCTGGTGGTAGGTGACAATAGTCACACTGGGGTCCAACGAGTTGATGATGCCAGATATATTAACTAACTGGACATTTGAGAAGTCAGAAAATAACCCAGTCCCAACTTCATTGGTTATGTGTAGTCAAGACAAAGAGATTTAAAACACCCAGTTAGAACAATAGGGGCAACTCGATGAATCAGAATCAAATACTAATTTTGTCTCACCATACTGAAGTTAAACTGATATCCTCTAATTAACCAAGCAGGTAAATACATTCCTGTAGTTTATTTACCCGGAATGTGTTGGAGCAGACAGCCACAGCATCAGCAGTTATTGACAGATTGAATTTTAGGATCGGAGGGTCAACGTTCCAGTCAGGCATTCCATTGCACTCTGGGAGGATGAACTGGGCGTTGAGGGCCATCAGGGTTTCGTTGTATCCACCAAAGTAGACTGGGCATAACAAGATACTCATCTCCATAACCTTAGTACCACAGGTCACTGTGATGTCAGAGTTCACTGGGAAAGACCAGAGATATGAACCATTAGATAAGACAAAGGAATAGTGTACAATGTGGTACAATAATACTGTAATACTATAATAGTAATTACCTGACATTTTGGTGATGTTGATGTGTGTGAAAAGTTTGTTTTATCATCACCCTAACCTCTGTTGAAATAAGAGGGGATGGAAGTACTTGTATCACCTGAGCAGTGTATTCTCTAACCTGGTGGTCTGAATGTTGAGTGTGTGTTGCAAAAAGTGCTGGGTGTCTGGGCCTCGTTCTGCAAAATCATGCCAAGCTGGCACAGTAGCAGGGGCAACCACATTGTTCTTAGTCTGTAAGTACAAGACACACCACAATGAGGACCAAGGCATTCACCAACCTCTTCTGAGGCCATTATCTGAAAAAACCTCACACATTGATATGACTTTGTTTATAAACTCACAATCCACTTTTGAAAAGGCTAGCCAATTACAAAATCCCAAATAAACAGAAAATTATAGATTTTACGAAATAATCTTGTACATTGATAGATTAAAGACAAACACGCTTCTTACATTTGTGCACTAATTAAAAAGCACACATTTGTATACATATATTATTAAGAAAATAAGCTAATATTCTTCTGGTTGATGACATTCCAGTGATATGGCTAAAGAAAGATGTCAAAGACTCACCTGTAAGTGTTTGTCTTGTCTTTATCGCTTTCTCCAGCTCCCTGTATTTATACTGGCCTCCTTAGGAGCAGAGGGGGGTGAGAGCAAATATCCCTAACAAAAGACATAGTAACATGAGATATGGATGTTCAGAAACATCTCACTACTGTATGTTGTTGTATTTTCAACATGGCTATTTACTTAGATTATTAAGTATTTTTATTATAAATGTTTCATATTTTGGCAATGATCTCTGTCAGTAGACATACCTACAATGTTGATTTAGAATGCAAGACTAAAAGTGATTTATCAACATGGGGTGACATGAAGGGCACGGATGCACTTTAAAGTCAGACAATTTCATTACATATCCTCTGACAGTAATTGTATGATTTTGTGTGGATTAAAGCCAATTGACTTCAACAGAGTTGTGAATCTGAGATAGATAGCCACAGGATAAGCTCAGTGCTCGAGGAACAACTTGATGACATAATTCATGTAATTTTATGTCTGTCTCAATTGAGTCCACACCAAGCACATACTGTCCATGGGAAAGGGTGACGTGATGGTAGGTGGGATGGAAGGTGTTATTATGAAGGTGTGAGTAGCCATTAATGGTGTTATGTAAAGACTACATAATGAATAGTCTTGGGCATAATGTAACAAGCACATTCAATTCAAGTATATATTAAGGACATTCTACACTCTACAATGATTATCGTAATTATGCTCTTGATCCCCGGGACCAGCAGACGGAATGGGTACAGAGTGATGTCATCAGATATTGTGTTGCCATTGCATATCAAAGAGGAACATTCCACTCTTGATACTGCGTGTTCTTTTTATTTTATTTTATTTTTATTTCACCTTTATTTAACCAGGTAAGCCAGTTGAGAACAAGTTCTCATTTACAACTGCGACCTGGCCAAGATAAAGCATAGTAGTGCGATAAAAACAACAACACAGAGGTACATATGGGGTAAAAAAAACATAAAGTCAAAAAAATACAACAGAAAATATATATACAGTGTGTGCAAATGTAGCAAGTTATGGAGGTAAGGCAATAAATAGGCTATAGTGCAAAATAATTACAATTAGTATTAACACTGGAATGCTAGATGTGCAAGAGATTATGTGCAAATAGAGATACTGGGGTGCAAAAGAGCAAAATAAATAACAATATAGGGATGAGGTAGTTGGGTGGGCTAATTTCAGATGGGCTGTGTACAGGTGCAGTGATCGGTAAGGTGCTCTGACAACTGATGCTTAAAGTTAGTGAGGGAGATAAGAGTCTCCAGCTTCAGAGATTTTTGCAATTCGTTCCAGTCATTGGCAGCAGAGAACTGGAAGGCATGGCGGCCAAAGGAGGTGTTGGCTTTGGGAATGACCAGTGAGATATACCTGCTGGAGCGCAGACTACGGGTGGGTGCTGCTATGGTGACCAATGAGCTAAGATAAGGCGGGGATTTGCCTAGTAGTGATTTATAGATGGCCTGGAGCCAGTGGGTTTGACGACGAACATGTAGTGAGGACCAGCCAACAAGAGCGTACAGGTCACAGTGGTGGGTAGTGTATGGGGCTTTGGAGACAAAACGGATGGCACTGTGATAGACTACATCCAATTTGCTGAGTAGAGTGTTGGAGGCTATTTTGTAAATGACATCGCCGAAGTCAAGGATCGGTAGGATAGTCAGTTTTACAAGGGCATGTTTGGCAGCATGAGTGAAGGAGGCTTTGTTGCGAAATAGGAAGCCGATTCTAGATTTAACTTTGGATTGGAGATTCTTAATGTGAGTCTGGAAGGAGAGTTTACAGTCTAACCAGACACCTAGGTATTTGTAGTTGTCCACATACTCTAGGTCAGACCCGTCGAGAGTGGTGATTCTAGTCGGGTGGGCGGGTGCCAGCAGCGTTCGATTGAAGAGCATGCATTTAGTTTTACTAGTGTTTAAGAGCAGTTGGAGGCTACTGAAGGAGTGTTGTATGGCATTGAAGCTCGTTTGGAGGTTTGTTAACACAGTGTCCAATGAAGGGCCAGATGTATACAAAATGGTGTCGTCTGCGTAGAGGTGGATCTGAGAGTCACCAGCAGCAAGAGCGACATCATTGATATACACGGAGAAAAGAGTCGGCCCAAGAATTGAACCCTGTGGCACCCCCATAGAGACTGCCATAGGTCCAGACAACAGGCCCTCCGATTTGACACACTGAACTCTATCTGAGAAGTAGTTGGTGAACCAGGCGAGGCAGTCATTTGAGAAACCAAGGCTATTTAGTCTGCCAAGTGTTCTCCTATGAGATGTTTTTGTATGGTGATAAACATGTCATTATTATTCGTTACAGCATGGTTTTCGTAATGTGTCAGGTTTTGCGGTTAGGCATCTACATTTTATGTAGAAAATCTTTCAATTTTCTCCCTGTCCAGGAATAAAAGACACAACTATTGAAGAGAGAGAGCCAGGGTCTTTTGTGTGGCACCCCAACATGAAAGGGACTTCTAACATCCCTGGATCCGCCAGAGACAGCACTACAATAGCCTGTATGAGGACAGCCCAATAAAGACATGTTAGATTACTCTTGAGGTATCCAAGGATAAATATCAGTTTGGATCTTGCCTTTGTTGACTATACATCTATTTTTCTCCAAGGCCATTGGTGTTGTTTACTGTTGCCTAGAGATGTTTTTACCGTTACATAAAAACCATATACAAACAACACATTTATAGGACTGCCCACCATCATGTATCTGTCATGTGTCTTTCATTATTTTTCATCATAATCAGTGGTGGAAAAAGTACTCAATTGTCATATTTGAGTAAAAGTAAAGATACCTTAATAGAAAATAAGTCAAGTAAAAGTGAAAGTACCCAGTAAAATACTACTTGAGTAAAAGTCTAAAAGTATTTGGTTTTAAATATACTTAAGTATCAAAAGTAAATGGAATTTCTAAAATGTACTGAAGTATCAAAAGTAAAAGTAAAAGTATAAATCATTTCAAATTCCTTATATTAAGCAAAACAGAGGACACAATCTTCTTCTTTTTTTTATTGACGGATAGCCAGGGGCATACTCCAACACTCAGACATAATTTACAAACGAAGCATTTGTGTTTAGTGAGTCCACCAGATCAGAGGCAGTAGGGATGACCAGGGATGTTCTCTTGATAAGTGTGTGAATTGGACCATTTTCCTGTCAAAATGTAACAAGTACTTTTGGGTGTCAGGGAAAATGTATGGAGTAAAAAGTACATTATTTTCTTTAGGAATGTAGTGAAGTAAAAGTTGTCCAAAATATAAATAGTAAAGTAAAGTACAGATACCCCAAAAAACTACTTAAGTAGTACTTTAAAGTATTTTTACTTAAGTACTTTACACCACTGTCTATAATTTGAAGGGTTCTCTGATAACAGTGCTCCGCTCTGTAGCTATGCTTAGCACTATTTCTTATTTCTCTGCAGGCTTTCTCTAACAACCTGTTCCAGGCCAGACACA